ATTTGGGGAGAATGAAGCTGGAAGGCTCTATTCGAGTGCGCACAAGACCCTCACCAGGAGTGTGTGACATTGGTCGGGAGTCGGAAGTCTCCTTCCTATGTTGAGCACATTGGTACTGTGCGGCTCTGCCCGACGGGCATGTGGCAGGCAGGGTGCTGGTGGCTCAGGTGAGGACCAGCTGGTGGCCACCAGCCCACCTCCCTGGGTGACATTGCTCGGAGAGTTCACGTGGATAGGACTCTCACATGCAGATGTGCAAGCCCAGAGCTGATCGGGTTTATGCAAACGGAAGATATAGAGCCAGGGCATGCATTTAAAATAAAAAAATATAACAGCTGGATGGATAAAGGTGCTGGTGTCATCAGGGCCGACACTCTATCCAGAGCACCCTGCCACGTGAGGTTCCAGAGGGCCACTCGGGAGCACATGTGTGGCCACCGGGGCACAGGCTGGCGCCCTGTCCTGCAAGCCAGGCACCTGTCCCCTGGTTAGCGGAACCTTTACGCAATGTTTCCAGATTAGTTTATTACTGAGTCTGGATCTTTTGGTAATTATACGTGTCTGATCTTTATGCATCATGTATTACTTTTATCAGAACATTTTGCAAGATTAGCAAGTATTTTGTTATCTGCTTGCTTTTGTTACAGTTTTCCCACTTGAGCAGCAGGAAAATGAAAAGGTGGATACTGGTTATTTGTAGCAAAAAATACATCATACTTCTATTGTTGTATATTGCCTTAAATAATTTTGTGTTCTTAGATTTAAATCATTGGTTTGTGTTAGGGGCAAAAGAAAAAAAAAGACTTAGAGGATTGTATTAATTTAGGCACCATTAAACATGATATTTAAGAATTTATCAAATTCAGGGTAAGGAGTGATTATTAGGAAAGGTTTATTTTCAAACAGAAAGAAAAATACATCAGAAAATTGAACGCTGGGGAAATTTTAAAGTTATTTTTTTTTTCTCCTGACCTAATACCTCTCTTCCTTGGACCTACCCCATGCCCAGATTTCAGAATGTCTGTTTTATTCCAAATTCCTTGTAACCGTGCAATTCATTCTTCCTTGTGTCACTTGCTAAGTAATTGATGCATTTATTTGTTTATTCATTCAATAAATGTTACCATTTTATGTAAGGAAATGCAGGGGTGAACGAGACATCATCTCTACCCTTCAAAGAGCTTGAAGTTTAGAGAAGCTTCTTTCGAGCCCCATAGACAGATGAATAGACCAGTGCAGGATGGTGTTATAGATACTGTCACGTGTGGGGACGACACAGTGACGGGCGTGGGCATTGCTACCTGCATAGTATAGCATGCAAGGCAAGGTGCAACCTCATGGAGATCTTGTATGTCATGCCAAGGAGTTAAAGTTTTATTCCAATAGGTAGAGGGGTCTCCAAAATAGCTTTTATGCCAAGTTAAGAAATTCTTTTTTTTTTTTTTTTTTTTTTTTTTGAGACAGAGTCTCAAACTCCTGGGCTCAAGTGACCCTTCTGCCTCAGCCTCCCTAGTAGCTGGGACTACAGGCATGCGCCACCATGCCCGGCTAATTTTTTTTATATATATTAGTTGGCCAATTAATTTCTTTCTATTTACAGTAGAGATGGGGTCTTGCTCTTGCTCAGGCTGGTTTTGAACTCCTGACTTTGAGCAGTCTGCCCGCCTCAGCCTCCCAGAGTGCTAGGATTATAGGCATGAGCCACCACGCCCAGCCAAGTTAAGAAATTCTGAACTGTTATCCTCCTGTGTTCATGTAGCACGTGGAAGACAGAGTTAAAAAATGGGGTAGGATATGATCAGTTATGATCATCTTTTCTTTGAAATATTCCGAAGCTGTTCTGTTGCCCACAAGCTACTCGTCTGTGCTGTTTCAGCAGCGCTCAGTAGACAGTGTGACTCAGGTTCAGCTGGCACTGGAGAACTTGGTCCTTTTTCATCTCTGCCACCAACTCACGGGCCAACGTGAATGCCTTTAACCACTAAGTAAATGCTCCCCGAGCCTTGGTTCCTGTAGTGTGAAATGTAGATAATTATATTCACTTGCCTCGTGGGACTTCTCCTTAATATTTATAGCTGCAAAATACTTTGCAGTCATTTTTATTAATAGTTACCAGATGTGTCGTAAGGATTAATGAACTTAAGATCTGAAATGTTTTGAGCTCCTGAAATAGGAGGTGACTGTCTGCACAGGGGAAATGTAAAAGAGCATTAAAATGCAAGCAGTACACACTTGGAAATTTGAGCTATTGCATATGAAGGACGAATGGCACAGTTAAGATTCCAGTAGACTTTGTGGGTACATTGGGTGCCTTTAATAAGGTCACCAAACTCTTTACAGGCTATTGCGCCGTCTCTGCACCCGTGTGGCTGCACACACGTGCACTTCTTGCTAGTATCACCGTCTGTCCCTCTGCCTGTCACTCGTGCTTCCTGGGCATTGTCTTTGACCCCAGCCTCCCACAGCCAGTTGTTTCCAAGTGTTAAATAGTCGCCTTCCCGTCTCTGAACTTTCATTTCTCTTTTCTTTTCATCGTCCGGGTCCAGGCTCTTATTAGCTGTTCACCCAGCAGCTTCGTAATGGATCCCCTTCGGTTTAGTGTCTTCCTGTCCGAGAATTAATCTGAAGGCGTAGTTCTCATCACAGCCTCCTCCAGAAACCTGTGCTAGCTCTGCATTGCCTGTGAAATCCAGGCCCAAGCTCACAGGGCCGCCTCCAGACCCCCACCCCCACCCCCACCTGCCCGGTGCTGGGGTGACTCTCACTTCCCTGGGTCTGGACCAGCCAGCAGCTCTTATTCCATCCGCCTTTGTTGTGCTACTCAAGACCCCAAAATAAAATCTCTCTTGTGCAGGTATTCCAGAGCCATTCTATGTATGGTCGGCTCTCCTCTGAAACCTCTCTGCTCGTGAAGTTTCCGTCCTACTATCTGTCACGTTCCTTTGTTTTTATTTGTTTACGTTCCCTCCCACAGATGAGGTTGTCTGTCCATGGAGAACAAAACTCATGCCTTTGTGATCTTCGTGTTGCCCATGGCACTTGGCGCAATGCCCCGTGCGTAAGAAGACCTGACAAAGTCTTTGTTGTACTGAGTTCATACATTGAGAGGCAGAGCTAGTGTAGCGGTCAGTCCATCCTTACATTTATTTCAGCAAAATGTTCATTAAGCATTGACTGGATTTTTCTAATCATACTGAGTCATAAAGGAATGTGTAAACTGTTTCCACGCTCTGTTTAGGGAGGCGGGACTCATGTCGTTTAGGAAAGGTTCCATGCCAGGTGCTTAACCTTACCGTTCCTTCCTTGGTGGGAGCTTTACATTTTTATGCTAAGAGCTAAGCTTCACCGCAGTGGAAACAATTATTCCCCGATCTCATCTCTTTTAAATAAGATCCAACTGAAGGATGCAAGTATTCTAGAATTTGAGCTTGAGAAACACTTTTTCCTGCCTTTACTAAGAAATATACTCTGAACACCTTCCCATTCGTGGGGGACTTTAGATACTAGGGGAAAAACACGGCAGCCCCTGCGTTGGAGGGCTGTCGGGCAGCAGGGAGAGGGCTGCTTCCGGGCTCCGTCGCGAGGGGGTGGCAGGGGGTTCCGGGGGGAAGTGAGCAGGGGAATGGGCTGGGGGCTGCGAGAGAGGAGTGGGGGAGACTCCCTTCCCTTGGGCAGCATCAAGCCCCTCCGGCTCTTCTCTTCCTAAAGCAGCCCCAGGGCACGAGTCCAGTGGTCTAGTGGTGCCCTGGACTAAAACTCCATGCACGGGTTTGAGCTCCCAGGAGCAGGGAGGACATTGGCAGTCCGGGCCTCATCCTGCAGGCTCTATCCGGAAGGTCCTGACTCCATAGAAGCCTCAGGTGCCCCAGGAGCCGGAGCAGCTGGCTTGCTTGGGGCAGAACAAGGGAAGATACAGACACGGGGTGCACGCAATCTCTAGGCAGTTTAAGTTACGTAACAGAGCAACTACAAGCTTTTGTTCCCTATGGACACAAAAAGAAAAAAACAAGCCCATCCTGTCCCCGTTCTGCTAGAAGGGAGCCCTCTTTGGAGCTGGGTATGTGAGCCCAGGTCCAGACACCTGCAGCGGGAGGGTGACCCGTGAGGCCCCAGAGGTGGGTGGAGCGGGTCCAGGCAGAGCTGGCAGATTCCTGGTCTCCTGCAGAGATGGCCGTGCCTGCCTGGCCATGCCGTGTCCCGCCAGCCTCTCGTGCTGAGCGGCAACGAGATGGAGTTTCGGTTCCTTCTCCCCCTCCTGCCTTCCCTCTCCCTGGCCTGGCTGTCATTGTCCTTTGCGCTCTCTCCTTTTTACTGTTTTTTGAGCCTCGTGTGCATAAGCAGTGGAGTCCTTTCATGTGATGCTGGCCTGCATCGATTAATTCAGGCTCTTGCCACCTCACCTGCTCTGTTGCTGGCATCTCGTGACCGATTTGCTTCCTTGGACTGTAAATATTTCTCCAAGGAGTCCGTGTTCTACCACCAGATCTGTCTTTCTGGTCTTCGGCTGTCTTCTGCTTTTCTTGCTCAGGCGTCTGGTTTCAGATGCCCGAGGCCTCCCGCCGACCCTCGCCTGCTCTGTCTTAGGCGTCGGTTTGTGCTTCAGCCAGACAGGCTGCCTCCTGCTCACTTCCTGGGACATCCAGGCACAGGTCAGCTTCTGCCTCCTGCCTGAAGTCTTTCCGGATCTTTCCTATCGCTGTCACACGTGCAGCCCTTGATTAACTCGTGCATGTGTGGATCGGGGAGCGGAGCACACGCGTGCCTTAGTGATAGGAGCTGTGGCTTGTTCCCTGGGTGGGGCAGGAGCTCCTTGCTGGGTTCCTCGTTTCTTGTAGGGTCTGGAGCCCTGGCGCTTGTGTGTGTGATGGGCAGTGACGTGTTAGAGTTCTGGAGAGTTGCGAGAGTTCTTCCTCTTGGCTCTGCAGTCTGTTCAGTGAGAACCTTCATAGTTGTCCCTGTTCTGTGGCCCTTGAGCCCTCACTGTGCACTTGTCTTCCCAGCCCGTGCCCCGCATCATGGTGCAGTCTGCCTTCCCGGACGCCGGGGTGACCAGGATGGAGGAGGTGAGTCTGTGGGGCCTCAGGTCGCTGCTCCACATACAGTGGGTGGCCCCGGTGCTAAAACTGTCGAGTCCGCACCTGCGGTTTTTTATTTTAGCGTTCCCGGTTTGATAATTAACTATGATATAGGTCACCGTCTTCTCTCTTTCTGTTTTCCTTGTTACACTTTGCTATTTTCAACTTGTTAATCATATGATTGCTAAACTTTTAGGTGCTTGACTGCTAATACAGTCTGCTGCTTTAATAGCCCACTGCTAGGCAAAGGAGATTTCTATAAACAGAACAATCTCCCTCTTCTAAGTGTTTGCTTAATTCTCAGTTTTACATTTCATTCCGATTCATGATATCAGCGTGAAAAGACTAATGCTGAGCTGGGGAGAAAATAGTCTCTTATGATCTCCCACAGATCAACAGCACTTCTCATCTTATGAATAGCAAATCTATTTTCTCCTACTGTGCGTTCATTCTCTTAGGAAATGCTATATCTTCATAGGAAAATTTTCTTTATTAAAACAACAGCAACGAAGGCATGATAATTTGAAAGAACATTCAGACCTCTATGAATTCACTCCTATTTAAAAGACACTTTGACTCCAGTGTATGCTTGGTGTCCATGAGCTTCAGTGTAGACAGTACTGGGTCCCCCTGTGAGTAGGGTGTGTCACTGTGCCGAGGCAGGTTGGAGACCCCCCAGCCAGTGGGACGGTCAGAGCAGGGCCCTGCTGCAGCCCATCGTGGTGGTTTCCTCAAATGTGGGCTTTTACAGAAGTCTCCGGAAATATCTCTCTTTTGGCCGGGCTCGGTGGCTCACGCCTGTAATCCTAGCACTCTGGGAGGCCTGAGGCGGGCGGATTGCTCAAGGTCAGGAGTTCGAAACCAGCCTGAGCAAGAGCGAGACCCCGTCTCTACTATAAATAGAAAGAAATTAATTGGCCAACTAATACATATAGACAAAACTAGCTGGGCATGGTGGTGCATGCCTGTAGTCCCAGCTACTCGGGAGGCTGAGGCAGGAGGATCGCTTGAGCCCAGGAGTTTGAGGTTGCTGTGAGCCAGGCTGACGCCACGGCACTCACTCTAGCCTGGGCAACAAAGCGAGACCCTGTCTCCAAAAAAAGAATGTCTCTCAGTGGTGAGGGTAGAATCCAAAGACGGCAGCTAGATCTCAGCACACACATCGACTCCAGGCAGGCCGGAGCGGAGCCCGGGTGCCAGAACCCGCAGGGATCCGCGGCCACTGTGGCCAGTCGGCACTATCTTTGTTGCTGTTGCAGATCTGACCCGATTCCTGCCTTTTCACTCGCCAAATCCTTTACCGCTCCGGGCCACGTGGTAAAATGAACATGATCACACGTCCTGCCCACGAGTGTCCGTGACTCACGTGGAAGCACGTGGGTGGCACCTATAAATGTGAGGCAGTGTCACTGGATGGCCCCTCAGGAACAGCCCATCCTGGCCATGACCTAACCGGTCTCACCTGAGAGGGGAGTAGGGGACAGAAATTGTTTGAGGACCACAGTGACTGTTCAGATTCTAGACTCTGGCTCTCGTAGTTCCATTTGTGTTTGTGTATTCTTCCCTGCGTGGTCAATGACACTAAAATGAAAACAGGAGAGAATAAATGAAACATGTACAAGCTGCAAGAGAAAAATGATTGAAGGATTGCCTAATCTTTTAGAGTATTTATGCTGGTGACAGTTATTGATCTATTGGATTGAGTAAATTTTGCAGCCTAGAGATCTATCACCAAAATGGGCTGTTAATCTCAGGAGGTGCCGTTAATTTCATACCCTGAAAGTGCGCCTTGCGGGGAGAAGGGGCCTCTGGCAGCAGGAATATAAATGACAGTTCATGGGAACATGCATGATTTATCAGGCTGCTGAGGTAAGCCAAGTAACTGTAAGAGACTTATAGATCTCAGCTGTTTCCCAGTTCAAATAAATCCTGTATTTCAAATGGAAAATGACCATTCCTGTAATATAAATAATTTTTCCGTAAATATTGGAAAACATATTTCTTCTTCTGAACAGCAGCCCTGTCCACTCGAGCATCCCTGTTCCCCACTCCCACCTCCCCTTTGCCTGTCACTGTGACCAGGAAATAGGAAGATAATCCGCAGCCTCTTCACACGGTTGTCATAAGTGCAAGAGCACCTTGCACGCGCCCCAGGGGCAGTAGGATTTAGATGGGCAGTGGCTTTTGTCAACCCCATAAGACGTGGGCTCTGTGTGTGTCCTCTGCCTGGGTGACTCAGAGGGACAAGAGGGGTGAGGCCATGGGGGGCAGCTGCTCCCCGGCCTGTCTCCAGGGTCGGAGGCCCCCTGAGCCCTGATGTGGGAGCAGCTTCCACAGCAGCCACAAAATGGCCTTGAGGAGAAAGGGCCACGGCCTGCAGGGAGCCTCTGTCCCCGTCTGCATCCACCTGGCTCCTAGCAGGAGTGCCCAGCCAGGCCACGGGCCGGGAGGCTGTGCCCCGGCGCTCTCAGATCCTCCGATGAGATCATCGTTCTGACTTTTGCCAGAGAACAGAGCTGCCCTGGCCTCTTCAGTGATTCTCTCGGTGTCCTTGTGAGGTTGGCGGTGGGCAGGGGATCTGGTTCCCCAGGCTCAGTGTGGGTGGCTGGGAGGCTGTGATGGGCTGCAGGATTTAGTATGCCCCTGCTGTGTGCACCCCCTGTGGGAAGGCCTTGGCGACCCATCCTACCACGCTGCCCCTGCATGGCGGGCACTGGAGTCTCTCTTCTCAGTGAAGGGGAAGGAGTGGACAGGCAGGGGCTGTGGCCCGGGGTTCAGCAGCTCTGGCACAGGGACACTGTAGTCCCTCAGCGTTTGGCCCTTGCAGAGCCGGGGTCACATAGACGCAAGCGGGGGACCCACATGGAAGCGCCCTGGCTCCCTGCATCAAAGCTGCGGGCTGTCAGCAGCACACCCCGTGTGGATCCTGTGGGAACCGAGTAGCTGACCGCCCGCTCTTAGCCGTTCTGCTTCCTCTGACCCCGCAGGCTCAGCCAGAGAGCGTGGGTGCCGGCACGGACCCCGAGGTGCTGGTGCAGGTGGCGGCCCCTGCAGCGAGGATCTGCGACAAGCCTGCTAAAGTGCCTTCCCCGCCGCCGGTCTCGGTCTCCACGGCCACCCCCAGCCCCGAGGGGCAGGACGGGCCCCCCAGCCCCCTGAGCGAGGCCTCAAGCGGGTACTTCTCGCACAGCGTCTCCACCGCCACGCTGTCCGACGCCCTCGGCCCCGGCCTGGACGCCGCGACCCCGGCTGGCGGCCAGGCCGAGACCCCGCTGCCGTCTGCTGCCTCGGGACCCCAGAGTGTGCCCACTGCCCGGCTGGACGTCCCGGGCCCCGCGCTGGCCCCGGCGGAGCCCGTAGCCCCGACGCCGGAGGCCCAGGCCACGCCCGCCACCCGGCAGCTCTGCCCGGAGCCCGGCCCCGCGCCCGCCTCCCCGTTCCGCGTGCGCAGGGTGCGCACGGCCGAGCTGCAGTCCTTCTCGCGCATGCTCGGCGCCGACGCCGGCCCCGCCACGCCGGCCCACGGGGACCCGCTGGTCGCCGGGGCCCAGACCTTGGGCAGGCTGGACGTTGCATCGGATTCCGAGGAAGGCGACGAAGTCCCCGAGTGGCTCAAAGAGGGGGAGTATGTCACCGTGGGCACCAACAAGCTGGGCATCGTGAGATACATCGGGCCCACGGACTTCCAGGAGGGGACGTGGGTCGGCGTGGAGCTGGACTTACCCGCAGGTGAGCCTACCTGTCTGCCGCAGGTGTCGTGCCGGGCTGCCCGTGGCAAAGCGCGAGGGACTTGCCTCTTGACCTGGGCACGTCCTTTGGCCTCTCTGAGCGTCCCAGCCAGCCCACGTTTCCAAATCAGGAATTTCTGCTTGATAAGAGTTTCCTAAGGCTTGTAAGAGTAAGGTTTCCTCTTTTTGCTTCCTTACATTTTCCAGAAATCCCAGATAGTTATCGAAGACTACAATGACTTTGGTAATGACTGTTTAACATCCCAGAAGTGCCTGCATTTGAAGCGTGTAGCTCCACCTGAGGGTCTGCCGGGGTCACACGGGACGGGCCTGTGATGCTCCGTCCCCCAGACGTCCTGGGCTCCTCCGCCAGGTCGGGGACCTGGACAAGCGCATCTAAGCTGGTTGCAGGCCATTTAGTCCCAGTCAGAGTGGTGGATCTCAGACACGATCAGAAAACGGAGGGCCAGGACTTGAGGAAATTAACTTTATTTTTCAGCAACTTTTTTGTTCTTTTTTTTTAAGCAGCTCTATTGCGATGTGAATTTATATACCGTAAAATTCACACCTTTAAAGTGTACAATTCATTGGTTTTTAGTGTATTTGTAGAGTTTTGCAACCATCACTATAATCTAATTTTAGAGCATTTTCACCCCTAAAAGAAGCCTCACGTCCAATTAGTGGCCGCTCCCATCCCCCAGCCCCAGGTAACCATTGATACAGTGTTTGTGCCTTTAAATTTCTGAGCTGCGGAGGGTGAGGGGGGATCTTCAGGGCTGGCGTGTAGACTGGTGGGTGCCATTGGCGAGTGGGGAGGTGCCGGGGTGTTAGGAGTGGGCTTCCTGCGGGGCCCTGCCTGGGGCGCTCCCTCCCTGGCTGCAGACCTGGCTGCGTGCCTGTGACCCCTCTGTCTCTGGTCCCATAAGCTTAGCTGTGAAGTCACTCATTGTCTTTAAAAATAATTTGGCAGACAATAGCTTGAATTGGAAGTGGTTCTAGATTAATGTAGCACAGGCTGGAAAAAGTTTAGAAATCCATTTCTGCTGCAATGCAAAGGGGAATTTGGAAGGAAGTTTACGCCTGCGGTTGAACTCAACAGTTAAAGGGCAATTAGCCAGTAATTTAGTTCCTCCAACAAGCAATCATTAAGCACCTACTGTGTTCCAGTCACTATTTTAGATTCCAGGATACCTTGGTGAGCAAGACTGAGTCCCTGATTTAACTGGACTTTTATTTTAGAGAGGAGAAAGTTACTAAGAAAACAGACAAAATTTTGATGGCAATAAATGCTATGAGGAACATAATGGGTGTGAGGGGGTAGAGGATGGCAGGTGTAGGGAGGGCCTAAATAACCTTCAGGGAACCAGAGACATGCATGATGTGGAGGAGAAGGTGGGCTGGGACCTGGGCTCCCAGAGGGCGGCGGCTTTTGCGGCCCTGTTACGGAGTTAGGTGTGCTTGGCAAAGCTCACCTTTGCGGAGAATGGAGCAAGGGGGAGAGTGGAGGCAGGAAGGCTGTCGCAAAGGTCCAGGCGGAGATGACGGTGGCTTAGCCGGTAGGACTGGGAGTGGAGACAGGTGGTTAGAGTTGGGGAACATGGGAAGGTGCAGCCAGCAGGGCTGAGGGGTTGGACATGGAACGTTCAGGAAGGAAAGAGTCAAGGAACACACCTGTGGCCAGAGCAGCAGGGCAGACTCTGGGACTACTGGCTGAGTTGGACAAGCCCGGAAGTGGCATCTTGAGCTCTGTTGGACACACCGGAGGGTCCTGGGTGCGGAGAGCCTGCGGGTGGAGGCACGCCTGGGAGGCCACAGGGCCGAGCTGTGGCCTGTGTACCCCGGTCCTCCAGCAGGTAGAAGGGGCAGGATGGAGCCAGAGGGTGAGGTGGGAAGAAGGGGTGTGTCCCTGGAGTGGGAGAGGACAGTCTCCTGTCCCTCTGCCCCTCCACCCTCAGTGCAGTTGGTGGAGCAGCTGGGCCCGTGTGGAGCAAGGGAGAGGGACCGGGCGGGACGTGGAGCATAGATGACTCGTGATGATGCTGTGGGTGGCGGTGGCCCCTCTGCTCTGTTTCCCTGCCCTCCACGCTTCCTGAGCTGGTTCTCACCCTTCCCTGTGAGCATTTCCTGTCTGCTTTTGCATGGCTGGCCCTTCCTTACCATCTTGATGTGTCGGGTGGCATCCGACTTGCCGTCCTTGGGCGCTTTGCCAGTTTCCATGTGATAGATTCAGAGAAGTCATTCTACCAGCGCATTGTCCTGGGCTGAGGCCTGGATCACCAGACGGGAGACGGTCTGACCTGGCCTTCCGCTTGGCCCTCCCTGGGGCCCGTCCCCTCACATGTGGGGCTGCAGGACTGGGGGGTGTCTGTCACTGGCGACCACTGCTTGCTGTTATAGGAGATAGTCACCTATGTGGTGGCCACATCCAGTCCCTGCTAGACAGTGGCCAGGGCCCACGCGCCATCTGTGTGGGGGGCCAGTGCCTAGCGGGGGCCCAGAGGTGGCAGTTGGGGACACAGCCTCTGCAGAGGAGGGGGTGCAGGCGATGTGCAGCTGGGTCACCCTCCACATCACCTTCTTCTTTCCCCGCAGGGAAGAACGATGGCTCCGTGGGCGGCAAGCAGTACTTCCGGTGCAGCCCCGGCTACGGGCTGCTGGTGAGGCCCGGCCGCGTGCGCAGGGCCGCGGGCGCGGCGAGGAGGCGCAGTGCGGGGATCAGGCTGCAGGGCGCCCCAGAGGCCCGCCAGAGCGCCACGCTTTCAGGCTCCGCCACCAACCTGGCCTCGCTGACGGCCGCCCTGGCCAAGGCTGACAGGAGCCACAAGAACCCCGAGAACCGGAAATCCTGGGCCAGCTGAGCCAGCTGCCCCAGGGGCACGTGCTGGGCGCCCTGCGGTGACAGCGCCAGGAGCCGGGTGCCCGCAGGGTCCTCCCTGGGGGGCCGGGCAGCAGATGCTTTTTGCACATCGCAGGGCTGGTGACCTCCCCGTTTCCCGTCCTCCCTGGGCCTCTGGAAGCTTTATTTTCTCTCCACACAGAGGATGAGGGGGCACCTCAGCCTCCCCAGGTGGGAGTCGAGGGTTCTAGGCGCCCACAGGGGTCGTGGGCTCGTGGGAGTGAGGCCCTGGGGGCACGAGGCCCGGCCACGTCCCTGTGTGCCTGTGCCTGGGGCTTTGTTCTCTCGTTCCTATTTGTCTGTTTTAGTGACCCCAGGAATGTCATTACAATTTAAACCTTAACCCTAACTACTAGTGCCTTTCCTCCCCCTGCGGAGGGCAAGCCCACCCTGACCTCCTGGCTGGCACCTCGGCCCCCAGTAACAGTCCCCTAAGTGCCTCTGGCCTCCCGGTGCTCTTGGCCACGGCGCCGTTTGCCCGGCTCCTGCCTCGCTCCTCGGACAGGGTTTCTCACAGTTTCTTCGTGGGTGTTCTGGCGCCTTTACACCTGGAAAGTCTTTTCTGTCTGCCATTTATTCCCTTAACCGAATGCTTGGAATATATTTATTTATATTTATTTTTTTCAAACTCTGAAATCATTTGCAAGCCACAATCGTCTGCCTGGGTGCGGGTGGCCCGGGGCCTGCCGTGCACGCCACCAGCCTCCTGCCCTGGGTGGGGGTTTCCCGGGGCAGCCAGAGGACGGAGCCCCCTCCTCCTGTCCCTGTGCTGCAGGTGCGCTCGGCCTCGCTCTGGCTCAGATGAAAGCAAACACTCGGGGAGTCACGTTGCTGTGCTTCCGTTGTAGGTGACGAAGCTAGAGCCACTTACTCCCTTATCAGGTTCGATTGTGGTTGCTGGGAAGGTGCTTAGTCCATTTCAGCTTCTTGGTGATTCCCAAGCCCTGACCCTGACCCTACCTGGGGGCCGAGGCTCGGCCGGCGGCTGGGAGGGGGAGCCGCCCTGGTTTTCCCTTGATGCTCATGGCAGCCGCCCAGGCCCGCCAGGTGCCCAGACTCTCTGTGACAGGTGCTGGCTGGACGGCAGGAAGCAGCCAGGGCGCCCCCCACCTCCTCACCGGGGAGCTTCTGGGCCCGGAGCCTGTGGCCCAGCCTTCGGGTGGGGTCAGGTCTGCGTGTGGAAGGCAGGGCGAGTGAGGCGGAGGACACACTCTGGCAGTGCTGGGCCACCCGCTGCCACAGTGCTGGGATGGGGGCCCTGCGTGAGGATTCGCACAGGCAGTCTGGGCGCCCGTTTTTGGTCCTCACGTTGAGAGAACACTAGAAAGCTCCGCTGAGGAATCTCTGGTTCTCTGCGGACTTGACAGTCCTCTGAGGGGCTGTGGGGCTCCCTGTCTCTGGCGGGGGCTGCCTGCCTGGTGGCCCCTGAGAACACCACAGTGTCCCCCTCCAGCACCTGCAGCCCCCAGCTGGCTCAGGAGCAGACAGGAGCCCCTCCTCGGTGTGATGAGTCCAGCCTTATGTGCACGCGAGACTTGTTTTGTCCAGAATCAGCCAGAGGCTGGTCCTGGCCGCCGCAGGGAGGGGTGGTCTCCCTGGCGGGCCCCTCAGCTGCCTTGGGTGCCCTGCGCTGCGTAGCCCCTGGCTGGGAGTGGGAGTCTTTCTCTTTCCCCAGTTGCAGGGCCAGACACAAGGGGCCCAGCAGGAAGGATCCTGCCCCAGCCCAGTCTGGGACAGTGCCACCCTGGTGCCTCATCAGCTCCGACCCGAGCGATGTCCCTGACCCAGGAGGGCAGATGAGGCAGCCTCCCGAAGACAGCCCCGCAGGAGGGTCTGGTGGGGCTATGCGTGTTGCTGTCCTGCCTCCTTCCTTCTGCACTGTGACCTGCATGACCCTTAGGGCTGGAGGGAGGCACTGACCGAAGGACTCACTGCAAGGTGCACATGGTGTCACTGTCACCATCCACTGCCCACCTGGGCAGCCCGGAGTGACTCTAGCCCTGCCCTGTTAGATGAGCAGTGGGGCTGTTGGAGGGCAGCCGCCCCGCCTGCCTTCCCGCTCTTGCTGCAGACTGGCGGGGACCTGCCGCCGGGAAACCAGGGACGCTACAGCGGTGAGCCCTGCCAGCCTTGGCCCAGCGGGTGGCAGGTGCGGTCTTGAGGGTGGGCTGGGCGCCATTTCCTCCGTCCTCCCTTCTGCCTCCCTGATCCACAGACCTAACTTAAACAGAGAGTCCGCCCTGGGACTTTCTCCACGCCGCTCTTAGAGGGCCCCAGGCTTACCGCAGCTCGGGGACACTTCCTTGGGTCCTCTGCCTCCCGCTCTGCACGCCCAGGGCCACCACTAGCCCTGCCACAAGGCCCTCAGGCCCTCATGAAGTACACAGGCCACATGGGTAGAAAGGCCCATTCCCACCCTGGGGACTGCGTCGGGTCGTGGGGGGGCAGGGGACCAGCAGGACACCAGCAAGGAGGGGGAGGAGTTTTGGGGCCCACCAGGTCGGGCCTTGTGTACTCAGTGAGAGAATTGGGCCGGGCTCGTGACTGCTGTGGAGGCTGAAAGGCTTGGGTGTCCCCCCTGCGCCCCCCCATTACTCCCTGGCATTTCCTCCTCTTGCCTTAAAAGCTCCTTGAATGTGAAATGGTCCAGAAATCCTGAGTGTTTCTTTTCCTTTTGGAGACTCGCCCTGTCTGTGTGCACGCATGTGCTAGGTGTTTAGGGTCCCCCTACCTCCCGTGGTCGGCCCCCAAGGCCACCTAGATGGGAGTGTCCGACTGTAGTGCCTTAGCTGCGGGGACTGGCGTGCGGCCTGTGCTCTGTGCCTGTCGCCGGCCGGTTGTACCCAAAAGCATCTTTCTCTCGGAAAAGTCTCTGGTGCCTTCCTGGTGGGCTGCTGACACTAATGGTGTTGGGAGGGTCTTAGGACATCTCTGTCTGGATTTTTGTAAATACGATGGGTTCACGCTGAAAGAAGGGACTTTGATCCCGGAATTATGTTGATTTGGTACACATGAAATGGGAGTTCAGATATCCAAAGACTCTGTAATGAACTGTAAAGACGTAAATGACTTGTGTTGTATAATGAACTAAACCACTGTAATTTTGTACCATATATGCCTTTCTGTCAAGTGACCAACGGCTTCTAAATAAAACCACATGATGTCTTGCCTGTGTCTGGGTCAGTCGTGTTGCTCCGCTGTGACATTGGGGTGTTTGGGCTCATTGCAGACCTTCCCCCGTCTTGGCGTGGCCTTGTTCTCAGTGACGAGGGGCTTCGCAGGGTTGAGACTGGAAGAGGGAGGTCCGGGGAGCAGCAGCAGCAGCGCCTGCATCTCCCAACCCGTGCGCTGCCCGGAGGCCGAGCTGTTCACGATTTGGACCAGAGAAGCCAGGGTGCCCTGCGGGGTGGTCGGCCACTCTGTGAGCCTAGTTTAGGCGTCGTCAGCCCCTTACAGAAGCTGAGACCCAACGGGCACTTTCTGGGGGCCGGAGAGCCCAGGTAATCGGAGCTTCTGGGCTAGCTGGGAGACAGATGGCCTGGGAGGGACTGTCCCCAGCTCTCAGGCAGGGCTCCATGCCCTGCCCTGACCTGTGTGATGGTCTCCACACTGGACCTCCCCCTCTCTGCACTGTATAGAACTGGAAGGTTCAGTAACAAGGTGTTTCAAGAAGGGAGGATTGTGGTTGTGGCCAGCGGGCAGGGCCTGGGCCTGACCGCCATCTGTCCAGCTCTGTGTCCAGCGCGGGTGTGGAACAGTGCTGAGGATGGCAGGCCAGCCTTTGAGCCGGGGAGGATGAGCAGGCTTCCTGCGATAGGGCTGTGGAGTCCCTCTCACGGCCAGGGGCCCACAGCCCAGCACCAGCGAGGGACACGGGTGGCTGGTGCACATCCCCACGAGGAGGCAGGCTCGCCGTGGCCCTGTGCACAGCTTTGCTTTCTCCTGTGCCAACATCCACTCGGCCCTTGTCCGATACCAAATAACGCCTACAAATGCTGCGGCCACTCGGAGGGCTGGACGGAGGTGGCCATCAATCAGAGCACATCTTAGCAGGACTTGTTTATATTCATAAGTGCAGAAGAGTTGTTCTCAGAGATAAGTGCTGCCAAATAATGACAGAAATTTGGCAGGCAGGAGTTGCCCTGCTCTGAATGAGGCAGGAATCTGAAAGTAGAATTGATCTAGCTCCTAGGATAGATCTTATTTTTCAAGCTGCTGCTCTCTCGCAACTCAATGAGGTGTCTTTTGTTTGCATAAAGCTGTTGTGGGGTTTCTAGTTGCTGAGACTCCAAAATGGGCTTTAGTGGATGTCACATTTCATTAATTCATTCACTGTCACTCAACGAACGTTTGCATGTGCCTGGCCTCGAGGAGTGTGCAGTCCCATGGCAACAAGCCATCCTGGTGGGTTCCACAACAGGTGACCCTGCACTGCCCTGGGGCACAAGGGAGGGGCAGGCAACCAGAGGAGGTTGGGGAAGGTAGCCTTAGAAAGTGCTCAGAGAGGACATGGGAGCTGGTGAAGGGGCAGCTGGGGAGATGTCCAGGCTTGGGGCATATGGTGGACGGTTGGGTGTGGCATGGCACTGAAGGCTCTACTGCTTAAGCAGAAAGAGCAATTTTGGGTCACATAAGAGGAGCACGGGGTGGGGATGTCCTCTGTGTGGGCCCTACCCCCACCTTCACTTGGCAACTTCCACAGGGTTTGGGGGCAGCTTAAGAGTTTGCAGAGTCTCTTCTAATTACGTACGCTGAGAGGAGAAAAAAGGCCCTTCTTAGGTTTTCTCGGAGAAGTCTAATGGATTCCAGAGTCTATTGATGTGAAAGGGAAGCCTTTAAAGAAAACCAAATAATGAAGCTTCAGCTGTTGTTATTATTTTTTTACTGCCGAAGGTGAGGCCCTAGGAGAGAGCCCTCCATTAAGAAAACGAGGCTCAGGGCGTGGCCCGGAATGGAGAAGCGGAGCCGTGTAGAATCTAGCTCTCAGCCCGGGTAAGTCAGGGCTGCGTTCCTTGTGGGTGGGGACGGTGTCAGAGAAGCCCAGCCCGATTTCAGGGACAGCAGGGTGGAGGGGGTGGGCAGTGAGCAGAGAGGCTGGTGCTCACAGTGGGGGACGTGCAGTTGGGGACTCCCCTGCTGCCATCTGGACGCAGCAGAGGCTGGAGGGGCAGGCGGCGAGCGGCCGCAGTGCTCTCCCGAGCTCGGCCTCGCTCCCTCAACCAGGTGCCGTGTAACTGGACACGCTCCTTTTCAGGTGTCCTTGGGACTCACGTTTGGAACACACCGTCTGTCCCTCCGGTAGGTAGTGTCCGGCACCTCCCAAGTGATTGTTCTGATCCAAAGAAATCCCAGCCAGTCTTTTGTTCAGTTATACATTTTATTCTCTAATAGGTACAATACTAAAATAAACACAAATTAAAAAAAAGTTTTATTAAAACAAAACTGTACAAAAAAGCAGTATACTACATTTTAATTACAGAACAGTCTACTGTCCAAAAGGCACTAATCCAGAATAGGAGAGACAATGATACAGGACTCATCAGACTAGTTAATCAATACGATAGAGCACTTGTTTCTTTGACCATTTACATCTAGAAACAAGGGCTTTTTGCTACAGTCGTTACACACTGTTATAAATATGAGTCCTACGGGGAAGGTGCAGTATCCCTCTCCCTAGGGAAGCTTCCCGGCAAGAGGGACGTTGTGGGGCTGAGGGGTGGCGGGTGGCAGTGGGACGCCCGCCAGCCCCTGGGCACCTGGAGCGCGTCTTTCGGCCTGGCCTCTGGCGGGTTGGTTTCTGGCCACTAGTGGCAGCCACTTTAACCCCCTCTCGTGATTTAGCACCGGCAAAGTGGGTTCTGAGATGCTCCAGGAACCTGGGGCTGGAGGTCTGGGTGGTGCAGCGTCAGCAGCGCAGCAGAGGGAGGATTTGGTAACCTGATCTGAAGAAAGGCAGCGACTACTCTGAGAAGGGAGACGAGCCCAGGGACAGACAGTGAGCTGGCACCTCGGCCAGGCGGAGCGCCTGCTGCCGTCCGGACACACATCTGGCCCAGAAACAGGAGGTCCTCCTGTTCCTAAGTACAGAGGGCGCCTGTGTCCCTTCCTGGTGGGCCCAGGGGGAGTCTGTTCTGGAGAGATTGGAAAAGCTTTTGTTTTAGAAGCTGATTTCTACGAGTAGGATTTTGCTTCCCAGAAGGAAGTCAAAATACAATGACCGGCCTGAAGCGGGGACGCCGTTTCCCTACCGCAGGCTCCCCTCACACTATCCGTGTTGAGTGGCCAACTCTCCACACCCCAGATTTCATTCTTTAATGGACTCTGGATCTAAGGAAGAGAGATACTGCAGCTTTCCAAACAGTGTCATACACATATAAGACGGAGACAGGCATCTGATGTTAACAAAAATAAGTAACAAAGAAATAGGATTAAACCAAATCTCTTCTCACAGCATCCTATACTACATCCTCCTTCTGCTTAGCAGAAAATTGTACGTACACAAAAATACAAATACACAATTTTGTAGAACAGTCTGATTTTAATATATTTATATATATTTATATTTATACGAGTGGCAGGTTAGTTCATTATATAGAGCTTTTTGCACTTTTGGCTCATATGCAACAAGGCTTATAAATTCAGCTTTAGCTTTCATTCAGGTTTTATAGCTTTTGAACAATTGTTTTCACATTTAAAGCAGCATCCAATTTGCACTAGGAGTTTGTGGTGATTATAGGAAAGACGGGGTCGAGGGGTTACTGAGGGGCAGGGGGTACATTCCAGTGTGTGTGGCAATGGACGGAGGATTCTATGTGGACAGAGCTGACCATGATGACCCCTTGAGGTAGACTGAACACCTTACAGCAGACTCAGACACAGGTGTGACTCGCCCTCAGGGACACATGGTGCACAGGATGGGGGACAGAGACCAGAGGAGACGCCAAAGGGAAACACAAAGACTAAGACACACGACAGCCACGGCAGGGAGGGGCTCTCTGCCCCCAAGCCCGTCTGGCAGGGGTCCCGCACAGCCTGTCTTGGAGACGCGACTATTTGGTGGATGCTAAATACTTGAGGCAATCCCAAGGCATCTATCTGGTCCATGGTGTCTGACCTACCCGACGGCTAAACTTGCTTCCCACCTTAGCTCCTGCTGCGCCAGCCATTTCCCATCCTGCAGTGACCACATGGTTCAGAAACGGCACCCCCAGCACCTCGCTCTTGCCAGGGTGCGGAAGAGACTGGGCCCTTCCCACTGCCTGGGCTGCACCTCACTGCAGCCCCCTGCCCGCGCTTACGTTCTTTTCAGTGACAACCAGGGCAACGACGGGACACTTGGGGGAGCCTGTGACAAAGAGCATCTGGGAACTGAGTGACGAGGCACCGCCACAGTCCAGTGGGGGTTACGTGCTCCGGAAAAGCCTGGTTTGCGTTGTCACCACAGCAGTACGTACGTGCCTCCCCGCTCTACCCAAGTCAGAATTCAGAATTCTGTTGGCAAGTCTGCCCACGTGTCAGATGTGAACACCCGGTGTTTGGGTCACTACATTGTCTGAACAAAAATGCTGGATCATTAATGAAAATAAAGTGCCTGGGTTTGGATTGTTCCATTTTGCAAAACCTTTTAACGCACCAGCAAATCATCTGAGTGCCGCTTAGCGATGTGACTGGAACAGAGTGCAGTCCCAAAACAATCTGCCCCACACCCACCACGTAATAAAGGCCCCATATTTAGGTCAGACTTAAGTTACTTTTAAAAAGAAGCAAACAAATAACTCTCACATTCATTTTTAAAGACACACTTTTGATCTTAACACCCTACTGATGAGAGCCCTTGTGAGCGGACACCCTGTTCCCTCCAATCTAGGGGGAGAGGACGCAGCACGCAGCCAGGCTCCAGCGACTCACGATCTCGAGTGAATCAGCACGTTTGTTAGCTGTGATTACTTGATGCTTTGTCCTCTTGGCCTGGACACGTTTCCCACTGCTGACAAGAGACAGAATGCTGCTGTGAGGCTGTCTCGCTCTCCTGTTTCACTCAGTAGCCACTGAGATGTAGCTAAAGAGACTCTTAAACTTCTCTATGAACCAAGACCATATCCACATAAACAGAAACACCTCTAAAAAAAGAAACACTGGAAAACAGTGACAAAGCCAGCCTGAAGTGGCCGTGAAGAGATCCCCCCGCTTGCCTGCCCTCGCGGTGGTTCTGCCTGCAGAACGCCAGGGACACTGGAGAGGAGCAGCCACCCTGTGCCCTCCCCGGAGAGCCGAGTGCAGGGCGGGGAGGGACGGGACAGGGCACAGGCCGACTCTCTGGCAGGTTCCAGAGGTCTGTAACTTGCTTAGGCACTTAAAAAACATAAATAAAAATTTATCCTTGACAGGTACTGCATATCCAACGTGACCATGGCCGTGGAAGGGAGGGCGAGCCCGTGAGGAGGTCAGAGAAGGCTGTGGGCTCTTCCAGGGGAGGCAGCTATGACGTCTTGGCATCTTCGGCAGGGAGAGCGTCCCACCGGGCAGCCAGGCTGAGTCAGAAGAAACCAGGGTGGTGATGGCTCAGGGCACGGGGACTCGGCCCAGCAGAGGCCTTTCCAGGTCCCTGCTCCGCAGCCCCCCAAGGAAGTGGGCAAGTGTAGGTGTGGGAGGCCCACCCGGGGCTGCTCCAGACCCCCAGCCAAGCAGACTTGCTTTCCAGGGTCATTGTGAGCAAGCCGTTAGGAACAGAAGAGGCTCTTCAAAGAGTTTTCTGGCAAAAGTGAAGAGCAGTAAGGAGAAGCGTTGCCAGAGCTCCTGATGCTCAGAAAGAAAAAGGTCTACCCGCCCCCACCCCGAACTTTGGTTTTGTGGCGCCCATTCTCACAGATGCAGGATTAAAGGGTACACCGGTTCTAACAGAGCGGAATATGGTTTTCAAGGCAAATCATGACAAAGTTTCTTGACAGCAGCCCACAGCCAAGCACTACCCCTATGTGCCACCCACGCCGGCACCTGCCCCACAGATCTGGCACAGACGCGACGCAAGAGAGTCCAACATGCCATCACTAGCGCCTGCTGTGTACATTAACACAGCAGTAATGTCAGTCCATTTTCCAGTTTAATAGTTCCAGTGAATGATGAAGTAGAAAAATGACTCTCACAAGTTTATGCTGGGCTCTTAGTTCAAGTAAAGCAAAAGGAGGAGAGGTTTCTGTGCTCAATGGAAGCCACCAAACAAGACTGAAATTTAGACTTGGTCTGGAAGTGATGGGAAGTTGGAAAAATCCTACAGGAAGGAAATAACTTCGAAACACGAGGTCCGTGACTTGTTGCCACAGACACTGGTGAGAGCTGCATGCTCCTTTCCAGGCAGGAATCGAAGCCCACATCCCAAAATATCAGTGACCCCCAGCCACTCCCAGAGGTGCAAAATCTGGACCAATTCCAAGATGAAAGGCACAGATAACTTTTTCTTTTCAAATTAAGGAGATTTTGGGGGACAGGGGTTGGATAGTAAAACCCCATCAGCCAGCGAAGGTAACAATGTGCCTATCACAGGGATGTGGCCTTGTTCCCGAGGTGGCTTTTACGCTCTTGGGCTTTAATACTCTCTTGGCCTTTAAGATTGCTTGTGACACGAGAACAGATCAGGAAAGAGAGACAATGACAGAACCAACCCCTAGAGAACCACTTATTTTTGAGAGGAAAAGAGGAGAAAAGGGGAGGGAGGAAGAAATACAGAATTTAGTTGAGTTAGGTCAGCCCGGAGCGCATGTCTCTTGTTCAGGGTCCCTGACCGGCAGCTGCTGTACCTCCACTCGAGCCTCGGCAGGACAGGCACCGGCCACCACCCTGAGGAAGCTCACTCTGCTGCGTCCTAGATGCTAGGAGGAGCTCACGCTGCGCCCAAATCTGGATTTGTCTCCGTGCAACTGCCACTTACTGGCCAGGTAAGGCTCTGGGGGAGCCAGGGAGGGCCCGAGCCAGGGCAGCCGCTAATGTGGTGCCAGAACACCAGCATCTCCTACTCAGCAGAAAGCCCTGACCACACACAGCAGGATGCGTGGGATCGGAATAGAGGAAACAGGACTTGGGAGAGATTTTCATACTCCCTGCCTTTACTAACTGAACTGCGGGTGAGAAGTGCTGAAAAGTCTAGTAGTTCCTCTCAGTGCTTAGACCTGAGGCAGCCACATTCTTTTCTTCCAGTTGCCGATACAGATGCAGAGCGTCACCACACTCCTGTCCCTGTCACTGACTGGGGAGGAAGACAAGGGGAAGGGCCCAGCCTGGGCTACGATGTCCAGACCCTCCCAGGAGCGCTGGTCCAGTGTCAGAGGGAATTCAGTACACAGAGCTGGGTGGCAACACGACCTACCCAGTGCTGTCCCTTGAGAAAATGAAACAAGTTAGAATCCACTGGAGCCCTGCCCGGCCATGGTGAAGGGGGTATTGCTCAGTGTCGGGTCTGGGAGTCTCGGGTGCCAAGCCCGGCACAGAGAAGTGCTCGGTGAGGGCAGCCGAGTCAGGAGCTCTGATGGCTCAGGAGGTCTGTCTCTTGTAGTGATAGGATTTCGAATGGGGGCATCTTTAGTTTCCCATTTGAATAATTTATTTATGATGTTTGCTTTCGTGGGTAAATGCTATTATTTTTACTAGAAGGGAGAGAAGAGACAAGGATTTCTTTGTAAGTTTCCTTTTTCACAAGGGAGGGGGGCAGGGCTGCTGTGGTGAAGGAACACGTGGTGCCGGGTTTCTGAGTCACCCATGTGGCCTCTGGAAACATCCGGGGAGAGAAATGTCTAACTCCAGTTCTTTCTAAGTAGCACATCTAATACTTTGATCCCTAAGATAGATTATGTTAGAAGGTTTTAACTGGTGCTAATTCTATTTTCTCTGAATGTTAGCAGATCATCAGGATGTTCTGGCTGTTTTAATGCATGTCTCACAAATCACAGAATCACACTCATTTAGTCAGTTCTCAGAATCTCTAATCTTAAGACAGATTCTAAATTCTAATGGAAATGGGAAAGACAAAGGATGCTTTACTCTTCAGGGTCATGAATCTATAGTCATTCCCGTTGTCACAAAGACCGACAGGCTCCCTAAAAAAACAGTCTCAGTTCATCTGAGTGCAGGTGTACAAGGGGTGGGTGGGTCGCATGAGGTTGCTTTAAGATCTTACAGGAGGAGAAACACAAGTAACCACCTTTTAGGATCTTTTTCCTCACCTAGCCCAAGAACCTTTCCCTAACTTCTCTAGATGTGTGTGTTTGGGGATAGGGGAGAGGACAGCTGCGACTAAAAAGATGACCTCAGCATTCCCACGGACCCGAGTTGTAACTAGCATTTCAGCCAGGTTAGGATTGTTTCCAGTATGGGAAGGGGAAAAGATTTGTACAAGGAAAAGCAGCAAGATATGAAAAACAGCCAGAGCTTTATTTTCTTTAGTGGCTATTTGCCAAACCTGGAGCGTCCAGGCCTGAAAAAAGAAAGGGTTCTCAGACCCAGGCTTACCTAGCACAACCACAAGCCCCCTGGTCAGGAAACAGCTTATGGGAGGCCACTTGGCACTACGCTGGGGGCTAGTATTCTCGTAGACTCAATCCTGATCGTGTAATTGAATAAAGACTTCTGGGAGTGATGGGGAAAAAATAAACCGCATGCTAGAGAAAGACTAGTTGGTGACCCAGCAGCTCCTATCCAATGTGACACCTCAGAATGAAGAGTAGGAGACCGCGCCACAGGACCACACGATGCCCTGAGACAGGGAGCATGGCAGAGAAAGGAAGAGTGGGAAAGAAGATGTAAGTGCTGGGGAGACAATCACAGGGACAAGAGAGCGATGGGAAAAGTCAGGACGGCAAAGGCACCTGATGTGAGAAAAGCTCAGCAAAGTGCACGTGTCCCTTGCTCCGGTGACTTTAGGACGTTGCGAATACCAGTGTTCCCTTCATGCCGCCTGGCTGACTTACGTGTGTTCCTGTTGTGCTGTGGTCTGCATCTTGGGATTCAGTGAGGAAAACCCTGTTCAACTCTGAAAACTCCTGTCCAGTAAATACTTTCTGATGGCGATGCAGATGTCCTCAGGTTAGGCCAACAAGGTCTCCGAGCTGACTGGCCATGGGACGGAGTGACCAAGAGGCCTGTCAGAGGTTTGGGATTCTGACTGTGGAGGTGGAGCAGGTAGAAACAGGATGTGAGTGAAGTCTCAAATAATTTAGAAGTCAAATGGGAACAATAATCAAAGGCTTCCATTTTGAAGCTGAAATAACTCCAAATCCTTCTCTTTCACTTAAGGGAGAACATGAGTACCATGTCATTATTTTAGTTTACCGAGTTGCTGTTCCAAATGTTCTCGAGAGCATTAGTGCTAAAAGGGAACAGGGGAGGGGAGCTCTGCCATTTCTAATCACATAAAGGACAGAAATCCTTTTAATTATGACCATGCCAATCTGCATCCTGCTAAAACAGCTAATTACATGTCAGGAGGACACTCAGTCATTCAGAACAATTGCCATTATATTTTTATATATTCATTCTATGCCACCCCCCTCAATTACCATGGTTACAATTTGAAAAGATTCAGCCAAACCTTCGTTTGATCGCTGCACACCAATGTGAATCTGAGAGGTAATTACGGCTGTATAGAGCCACTCTTATTTAAAGGAAAATGAAAATGGAGTCAAGGGAGCTAGCATCCTAAGACTGCTCAAGTGTGAGCTGAGCTGTGTGCACACGCTGCCTACAGCCCCGAGGGGCTTGGACCTCGAATGGGGCCAATCAATCCTAAAACCTGCCTTGTAAAAGGGGCATCAGGAGAGGAGAAAGGCAGGCTCCCTTGCAGATGTATCCTCCTGTGTGTCATCAGAGCGCTGGCCAGTGAGATAATGGGTGTGCAACGTGCATGTGGTAAACTGTCAAGTGGTGTGAAAATACTAGTCAGATTTCACTTGAATGGATCAACTAGTTCTGCCCCAATGTGATAGGAAGAATGATAAAGAAGTTCAGAGATACATGTGTTTGTCATTCCAAGGCACCTACTAAGTCAGTGAGGTAAGAAGGGGCATGTGGCCAATTTCCCTCACTCTCTTCACTTCTCGATCACAAAGGCAAACTAGTGTTATAGGAGAGCAGATTTGTTGGACCGTTCGCTTTCATTTTGCTGCTCGCTCTCATCCCTGCCAAGAAAGAATAATGAAGCTAATATGGAAACTTTTCAGTTTACAAACTTCCAGGTTCTGAAGGAATGTAGATATGAACAAAGTTGCATTTCAGAGATAAGTGAGTCAGCCACTGGCCTGTCAAGAGCAGCGGCTCATCACTTCAGTCTGTACATAAAGAGAATTAAGAACAGCCTTACTCACACATACCTGTCTGTGACACAGGAGTTTCTGTAGTCAGAAAACTGACTTGTGTCCCAAAAGCCTTTACCAACTTAGTATGGTAGTTCTCTTGAGAGCGGTAAGGAAATCGCTCTACTTAAGTGATAGTCATCTTTGAAACCAAGAGTGCAAGATGTAGGAGACCACATTACAGAAGAAAGGGCCCTGCTTCGACAGCAAGCTACCATGAAACCCTCAGAGATAACCTGGCCATTCACAGTTGCCTCCTACTCTCATCAGGCGGCGATACCTTCACACTGGACAACGCAGTTATTCCTGGTGACGTAAGTGGAGAAACGAGGGATTTCAGGGCATGGAGCTCAGTTTGCCAAATTAAATATGGCTGACAACTGATCCCCAAATCCTGAGTAAACTTCCTTGCTATTTAAAAGAGCACAAAAAAGGGGAATGCTTATACGTGTAATTCCCACCCCTGCCGCAGTGCAAAACCTACTGCACACTCCCACCCTCTGAAAGACAATGTGCCCAACTTTCAATTGGGAAATCTTGAAAAATAAATCTGGCTCAGTAAAGCTATAAATGGATTTGGCTGGTCTCAACACAGCCCGAGTGAATACAGTAGTAAAACATTACCAATAATCACAACAACAAAATGACAAAATCTATCACCACTCTGACATAAGATTTAAGTCACAGAGATTAACACAGAAACCAACGTATAATGTGGAGGGTCAGGCCTTATAAGATCATCAAGAATAAGGAAAATTATTGCCTAAGAATCTGTTGAGACTCACTGGGGAGAAAATACTCTGGTTGTTGTTGAACAACAAAAGACAAAAAGCAATTTAAAAAGGCAGAGCCATGAGTTAGACAGGAAGACTGCTTCTAACCAAACCCTTAAGATCAAAGAGAGTAAGGACTTGAAGTTCACATTTTTAGGATGGGGTGGGAGAATCACTTGTGAAAAAGGGATTATTTTCCACGGTTGTGGGCACAGATAATATAGCTGGTCAGTGGAATATGTAGCTGGTCAAGACAGGAAGGAGTGTTTGTGTCACGAGATGAACCACACCCAGCTACTGCCTGCTGTCACGTTATAAAAAAATTCCAGCAAAGAAATCCACTCAAGACAAGGATAGAGGAAAATGACAGAGGACAAGGCTGGAGATTTCCTGATTAAGTATGTATATCTGGTGCCTGACGGTATCCAAAAGAGAAGTTTCTAAAGCCAACATTTCTTAAAGGCCAAATGGAGAAATGAAACAACTGTGAATTCTTCATAGTTATCCCTTTGAGGTAAAAATATAACTGGAAATCTGGACTTAACATAGGTGCTGTTGATCACGTAACTGTCAACATAACTCTACCAGGAAGTAGATTTATACTAGATTTGTATACTTCGGTCCTAATGATTTTCTTCATGTCTTTTTAGGTGGTCACATCTGAGCTGGGATGAAAGGTAGCGGTGGTGGTGGTGGTGTCATCATCTGTGCCTCCCTGCCCCACATTCCTTCCTGTGAAGGGCCATGGGAATGTATGTGTTGGGGGGTGTCCCATAGAATGGCTAGTGTCCACAGGGAGGTAACTGTACTTATCAACCACTTACAGGATTGGGACTGTGCAGAAAACTGCCTTAAGGGGCACTCTAACAATACAGACTTTGCTGAAATAACAAAATGTCTACCTGGTACTGAATAGCACTAGAAAGTACAGATAAGAACACACTGCACTGCCCTCCCCTGCTGCCACTTGATGTTAGGATTGTCAGCAGACTGGCGGACATCTCGTTAAGATGATCCGTCTTTAAAAGTTCCCTATGCAAGATGTTTTTAAAAGGGTGGGAAGCTTACCCAACCGACCACAGGAATTCAATTACAATGTCTTTAAAAAAATAAACAAGTTACATGAATATCTGTTGGCAAGTTCCCCCCACCACACTTTTAAAAGATGTTTAAAAGTCTTCCTCAACCAAGAAGAAAGAGCCCGACAGAGCCCTCAGAATGGACTGAGAGGAGAGGGACAGAACAACCAGCAAGCACGGCGGGCGAGTTTAAGGAGCCTGGCTCTTTCCCTTCAGTGACAGAGCAGCTTAGCAGTTCTATTTTAATACTATCTCTAAACCTGAAAAAGCTTAAGAAAGAAGTTTACTATCCAAAGGTATCAGAAATGAAACAGTGGCAGTTCCATTTGCCGGTATAAGAACTAAGGCGGCCTGGACAAGATAGCAGAATTGGCCCTGGTGACAAACGGAAAACCAATGGTAGATTTAAATCTAGACCCAAGGGAAGTCAAGTCTTACTCTTGGTGAAAAGGAAGTTATATGTAAGGCAGCGGGTCTTCAGGCCAGCAGTCTTCCCAGACGACAAGGGCTATGGGTGCAAGACTCTTTCCTCCTGTGCACACTGAGTTCAGCACGAGGCTGTCCTCTGTTGGTGCAAATGGTCTTTCAGTTTCACCAGTTGCCAGATCGGCCCTGGTACTGCCCGTCAAGGATGTGAACTCCCTTTGTTCTCTGAAGCCTTTTTTCCTCCACAAAGGTCTTAAAACAATGAAACCCGTTAGCTCTTCTATGGCAATCACTGTATTTCTTTAGAAACGGCAGCTGTCTTCACAGTTTGAATCTGTTCCTTTAAAAAGACCAGCAAGAACAAATGATAGTAGCAATCCCGCCATAAAGAAGCTATCAATTATAATAATCTCCTTACAATAAATCATGGATGTGGCTTGTCAGAGAGTGTATTTTTTCTCTCCTTATTCTGATTCAACCAAGAATAAGCCAGACAAAATTCTACCAAAATGGAAAGACAAAATGTTATATTTCTTCTAAGTAAAATGAAAGAAAGGTATCACAATCTCCTAACTGAAATAAGTCAAATAAACCAAGAAGGAATATGAGCAGGGGGAGGGTGGGGTTATTCCTGAGAATAACAAATGCTACTCTTGAATTTTTTTGTTGGTTCAAGTAAAACAGCAAAACAGAGAAGATGCTCTGTTTTACTTCAATTCTTAGAAGCTGGAAAAAGTTACATACATTTTTCTTCCTCCTGAAATCCATGGATAAGAGCAGGACCATGCCCTGCATATCGCTCTTTAAAGTCACAGACATATATGAGGTGGCACTTTCATGCCCTCTCAAAGACTTTTCCTCACACTTACATAAGCAGGATTAACAGATAAGAAGATGATGTCGTCAGTGTGTGCCTTACGTGGAGAAACCAGCGGATATTCAATATGTCACGAATGAGAAAGGGGAAATCAAGGAAGGTCAGTAAGTCTCTCTCTCTACAGTTTTAAGTTGAATACATTTGGTGGAAGAGGAAGGGTGAAGAGGTAAGAAAATGGCACCTTCTATCTTAGTAATTGTTTTCAGGTAATGGACAGAAAGACAGAAGCCCTGTTTCCCAGGTTCCCCTTCAAACAAGGCTTCATTACACACACACAGATGGAATGAGGCAGAAGATACACAGCAGTCGTGCCTCTTTCAGACGCACCATACGCTGCTACAGTGAAGGCTGTTTCCTCTTACCCACAGTGACAGTGTGTCATTTAATCGGGATGCCAAGAGATCATTTTCATACAAGGCCAGCAGATGTAATTTTCTTTGATGCATGAATAGTTCATCATCCTTGCTACTAGATGACAAGGTGATCACAGGGTGACTTTATAACGCAGGTTCACTGTTTGGTATTCTGAGTTCTCAAAATGAAAAAAAGATTTATCAAATATAAATATCTTTAAAAAGTAACAAAAGTGCTACATATATGTGATCAAGGAAAAAAATTCCATTAGTTACTGCCGCTTAAAGTAGATTAAACTTTACAAATATTACCACATCCATTATCAATATGGCTTCCAATTATTAAGTAAATTGCCTGTAGCAATACAGCTTTTCACACCTCTACAAGGACAGAGTAAAGAGAACACCAAAGCAGTCACGTCCTGTTGTACCTCACACAGCCACAGCGTAAGTGGTACATGTCCCCTGCTTTGTCCTGCTCCTATTCGGGCAAGTGTTTGCATCAGTGACAGCACAATCCCACCACAAAGTCCTCTATCAACCTCTCAGAGGGAGGGGGCTTCAGTTAATGGATAAAAGCCTGTAAGTTATTTTGCTTATTTTTGACCTTATCTCCATCCTTGAAAGACCATTTTTGGTAGCAGGGAAAAGGGGCACCAACAGGAGGCAAAGCAACTTCCATGACGACCTCCAGACCGGCACCGGCGCCTGTGCCGCGGATGTGCAGTGGTTCTGAGACCTGGACCGAGCATCCATTAGACATTCAGCTCATGTTTTTTTTCCAATGCTCTCAAGCTGGGTTATTTTTTTTTAACTTTTGTTTTTTTGTCTTTTTTTGTTTTGTTTTTAATTATGGTCCCAAAGGCAGAAGGCAGTATTTTTATCTACTAAGTCACACAGCTTGTGAGAGGAAAGGATGTCTGTCAGGCATGTTAACCACCACCAAAATCTGAGATCGAGTTTTTCCATTGACATTCTTAGCACAGCACCCAGAGAAGTGTAATCTAGCCACAGTGTGACTATAAGGAGGCACGGCTTATTGCAGCTGGAAATCAATTATCCTCACGCTGAGGTGGGGATTCTAGTGTTCCTTTGACTCTGTAGAGACTCCCCACACGGTGTCTGTCATTCCTGCGACACTACCTCAGCTTGCATCCTATCAGTCTTGGGGAAGGAAAACAGGGTACAGACTAGTGTTACATGAATCTAAGGTACCCAAGATTTTACACGTAGCCTAATATCTGAGAACTGAGGGCTATCTAAATACCTGGAAGCACTTTCTTGGAATGCTAAGACGGAGCAGCAAGATTTTCTAGCCTCAGGGGCTGGGAGGGGGAAGGTTGGTTGGTTGGTTATTATTTACTGGGAATTAATACTGAGAGAGTATATGCAAAGGCTGAGGGCACCATGCCATCTTCACAGAACAAGACCCTAACGGATACCTGACATACAAGAAACTGCAAGTTATACTGTAAGAACACATGTTAAGGACCGAGGAAAGTCTGCTAAGGTGCTACATCTAAACTAAGTTAACTTGTCGTGTTTAACCTCCCTGATCAGTCATCGTCCAGGGCCTCTGTCTTGATTTCGTTGGCTCCTTGTCGGGCCAATGCCAAGATAGTGTGGTTGACTGCTGCCATTTCCACAGCTAATGAGATGGGGTCTTGGTGGTCACTATGGCTCGTGCTGTCATCCTAGACATGTAGAAATAAGAAACGAATGTTATTGGTGGAGTGGGAATGGTACAATTCTCTAGTGCACAGAAAGGCATGCTGGAGTCAGAGGAGGCAGAACATTCATGGGCGGAGACAAAACAGTGGGGGAGGGGCTTGTGGTAAAGGTGAGTTGTATTTAAGTAGACACTGAATGGATACATGGCCAAAGACTCTCAGTTGACATTTTTATGATTCAACAAATAAAAAACACTAAAAATTTTTTTCCTTGCTGAGAATTGTATTCATTCCATCAGAAAGACTGCTGGTGATGATGATCAGACCTGGAGTGATAGGTATAGGACCAACCTTTTGGGTCTTGCTGTAACAAATATGGCACTAACCACCACAGGCCATGCTAGTGAGCCACTGAATTCCAGGCTGGTACTCTTACAAATAGATTAGAATTCATGGTCTCTCTCTACTGAAATGCAAAACTTACAACTATAGACACCGACATCTTACAGCTAAAAATGCATTTTTGCAAATAATGAAACAAAGAATCCTCAATTACAAGAAGACACAAGTGTCACTGCCAGAAATGGCTATGGGAGAAAGGTGACAGCTCTCCTGCTGCCGGCAGCCAGGCCAGGGCAGCGGCAGGCGTGTCATCCAGAGGCAGCGTGAGGCACTCCTCCCCATGCAGCTCAGTGTGTTAAACAACAAAGCTGTGAAGGAGGCTGGCACTGCAGGATGTACCCGGTGTTACAAATAAGGGGTTTGTTTCTCACCTGTCATATCTTCAGGGGAAGTCTGTATCAAAGAGCTTTGGAAAGGGTAAGTCCCTTAGGGCAAAAAAGCATGGGATGTGCTGCCCTCAAGGCATCTGTAAAAAAAGATGGAAATGATCCATCTATACTGGTAGACTGAAAAATAATAGGAATGTTTCCAACCAGAAAGACTTACAGAGCATTCTCTCCAGTAAAATGTGGGGCTATGACTTAGAGTTCTAAAGGGGGAAAAATTTAGGTAACTCTTGGGAACTGTGGGTATCAGTTTCACTCTGATCTTTACAGATTAGTTTTTAGAATTTAAAAAGGGATCAGCATGGAATCACAGGCACTCTTGGAGCATCTGTGTTCAAGCTGCTGAACAGAGGCTGTCCGGAGAAGGGAGAACACAGTGGACTCTGTGAGCTGGCTGAGGGGCAAGGAAAAGGTATAGACCCTAATAGGAAAGAAGTTTTCTTGCTGGGGTCTTAGGGAAGGGACCATCCATTCTCTGCATATTCCAAATGAAAATGAAGTTTAAATCCTACTGAAATTCTAATGAAATCTGTCAACACACGTGTGAGGGGAAAACTCTCACAGTCTTAGTTACTAAATTATTCCATGCAGTGGCTACAATTAAATACATTTCCCCCCAAGCAATGCAGAATGAATCAGGGCAAGGTGAGAAGTCATGCAGGTATTGCATTTATGAGAGGATGCGTGTGTCAATGTGCCAGAGGGACTCTGGAAGAACCACTCCTTAGGGCACAAGGGCTCCCGCTGCAGTGGGGCCGGAGTGGGTGGGGCCTTCCACTGTGCCCTGCGTCCACGGGCCACAGCTGCCCGCTGCCCCTAGCGTTTCTCAAACACTGAGTGTGTGTGGTGAATGGTGTAACTTGCTTGTTTGGATCAGATCCTCCTCTCTTCTTCTACCTTCTCTGCTTCTCTGCCTCCCTCTGAACTTCTTCCCTCCTCCTCCTCCCCATTGCGTACTTGCCAAGTATCCTGTTGTATGACAATAAATCCATGTGGGTGAGTAACGATTTCTCACAAATTCAACAGGACAACTGAATCTTACCACATTCCTTTCAAATTACATGAAAATCTAACTAGACACAGGAGCAGAGTGGAGGGACATTGACTGTCTCCCCTCCCCCACCCTGGACAGCCACACCCAGGACCTGAGTTGTCACACCGTCCCACCGCTCAGTCACCAGAACCACTGCCTGGCTGCTCACCTGCTCGGAATAGTCGTTCCCGTCGACGTCGTCACTGTTGGAATGGCCTCCTGGGCTCTGTACATCGATCCCATGACTCTCCAGGATTGCTGCTTCTTCGAAAAAAGCAAATAGATCCCTAAATTATCTGTTACCTTATCATCATGGCCAGAACACTCAATTTTTGTGCTGAGGAAAGTAGAATACAATTATTAATAAATAAAAACCTATATTCCTCTACAGTTGTTTCTCTTAAGCTTAGATGGATGAAATTCAACTGCATGTAGGTCAGGAGAGGCGCACACGTGCGATTCTGGAGTCCCTGCTACTACGTATGCATGGTAAGTTTGAGATGTTAACTGTTCGGTGCTTCATAAATACTTGCTAACCAGTTAAAAAGCCCTCCTGTATTGGGGTTCTAATAAAGCATTTGAGAGCTGTAATGATGACTAGGAAGTATACTTAGAAATAAAATGCCATTTTAGAAGCACAAAACCAATCTCATCAATTTAAGTTTCTTATTTATTTTTGGCTACAGTTTTAAGTAGGGGAAAAAATCCTTCATTTCTTCCTTTATTAGCTGTACTCATAGTTTCCCCTAGAACACTTCTAGCATTTTCTTTTTTCCCTCTGCTTTATTAAGGTATAACTGACAAATAAAAATTGTGTATATATATATATAATGTGATGTTTTGATACATGTAAAAATTGTGAAATGACTAAATCAGGAATTCAGATTTCTTTTTCTTTTTTTTTTTTTGAGACAGGACTTTGCCGTGTCGCCTTAGCTAGAATGTAGTGGCGTCATCATAGCTCACAGCAACCTCAAACTCCTGGGCTCAAGCAGTCCTCCTGCCTCAGCCTCTCAGGTAGCTGGGACTACAGGCCTATAAAACACTGTGCCTGGCTAATTTTTCTGTTTTTTTTTTTTTCATAGTAGAGATAGGGTCTTGCTCTTGCTCAGGCTGGTCTTGAACTTCTGTGCTCAAGTGAACCTCCCGCCTCAGCCTCCCAGAGTTCTAGGATTACAGGCATGAGCTACTGCACCTGGCCCTGGTTTCTTAAATGTTCTTATTGTTGCCATTTGCTGTGTTCCTTGTCTATTAAATCTCTTTCATTCCAAACTACTAATCAGTTGTTTCTAATATCTAAGTCCCCAGTAATAACAAAGAAGCTTAGGTTATCACATTCCCTTATAAGTATTTTTAACATGCGCAGTACAGGAGAAATAAATTGCTCAGGGGGCATATCTAATTCTGTAATCTGGAACTTCAAGAACAATGAGTTTTAGAAATAACAATGTCGTTATTATTACAATATAAATAAGTGTAAATAATACTAACTTGGGGTTATCAAAGATATAATGAGGAAAAACGTAAGAGTGATTCTTGTTAGGCTTAAAAGTTAGGATTATACAGGCTTGCAGTTTCTAAAACCGAAATCACTCTTAAGAGAAAACACAATGTTTCTGACCTGCTTCATGAGAAAGCAGCCACGCTGATACATTACCGATATTGGCTCTCCTCTTGATCTCCTTCCGCCTGTTAGCAAACCAGTTATACACTTTCAGGGAGGTAACTCGTTCCAGATCTGACAGTTTTTTGCCTGTGAATGCATGCAATACAATTTAGATAATTTACATCTGGGATCCAAGAATGAACTAGCTTTAAGAAATAACACTTTTTTAAAAGTTGCTTTTGATTTGTCAAATTAATAGATGCAGGGGGAATTTTTTTTCGTATTACCTAGTACGATGTACACAATTATTATTGAATAAACCCACAAATGAATACACAAGTAGCAACTAAAGAAGCAAACAATATGCTTCAATTCAAAAAGCTAAACATACTATTAAAGAATTTCACGAAGTCAGTCATCTAGGTGCCAGATCAAAGTTCATGTGATAGTACCCTGTAGCCTTCATTTGATCAGCATCATTCTAGAAGAGTAAGTTATTCATTATCAAGTATCTAGATAACAGAAATTTACTTACATTTTTAAGTCCTTATATTAACTAGTGTTCTGCTATCTTAAGACAGAATATTATATGTGTTTTCTTGACGGCTAAAGGCCACTGTGACCACCCATTACTGTAACTCTGCTGAAATGCACAGCACAATTCAGGTTGCATTTTGTCTTCTTTGAAGTCAAATGGGACTTCTTACGGACAGCACCATCCTTGCCAGTTAGGTCCCATCTGTCCCATTCCCTCCTCTCCTGTCCTTTTCTGTTGTTTAGGTTTTAATCCACAGTGGGTAGAGAAACCAGAAAGGTTTGTTAGGACCTTGGTGATATAGGGATAAAATATTTTCCAGGGAGAGTTCAAGTTCCTGCATGGCTGGGACATTTGGCTTGTGTGAAATAGGGTACAGATGCCTCTCACTTATCTGTCATCGGAGCTGAGTTTGTAGGGTCTAGATTGCTAGAAGTATGCCTTCTAGGTAAGGGAGAATAAATTACCGTTTAACTGTTCTAAAACAATGTTACTTTTGTAGATAGCCTTTAAACCAGTTGAAGTGATTGACCAAGTGGAAATCAGGTGGATCATATTAACCAAAAATGGTTTCTGCTAACAAAATCTATAAAATGTGGAATATTTTAGCACATAGAAGAAAATACATACGAAATATTTAAGCGGTTCTGTCGACTTGCACAGGAACAACAGAACTTCAAAAGGGCATTGCCCTAAGTTTTTCCTAGCTAAGCAGAAATCTCAATGTGAGAAGGATACAGAAGCCAAATACAAAAAGAATTTTTTCCCCAAAAAGGAATACAGAATTATATAATTTATAATTGTTTCAAAAAAACTATCTTAATCTTTTTACTAACAAAACTTGCTTAAATATTTGAAACTTTAAAATTATTTTGGAATTGATATATTTCTGCTAAATTTTTACAAAGAGAGATCTAAACATTAAAAGATAACAATTTCAAGGTCTCTTATCTCATGTAAAGTCTACTCCCTGGAAACTTTCCAGCGTGAGTGTTTGACTTCGGGTTCCTGTCTGAACAGGATAGGGCAGTGACCACCTTGCAGAAGGATGGCATAGACCGAGCCGAGAGCACCAAGCTGAGATGGTCTGAGGAGGAGTGTCCTAAATGCTGATCTGTGACCAAGAGCTGCACCACAGAGCAGAGCGGTGCTTGCTACCTTACCTGGCTTCTGTATAACTGCATTGCAAGCATTAGCAATTTCTTCTCTCTTTGCTTCATCTGGGTATTGATTCTCATTGAAGTAACTGCAGAGGTAACATAAAGACACAGAGTTTTTACTTTCTTAAATGTGCTCTCATTAAAACACTAACTCACTGAAAAACGTGTTCTTTAAAATGTAACAGTCAAGTGTCTAGTCCCAGTTGTCCAGTGGAATTTTCTGCAAGAATAGAAATAGTCTCATCTATGCTGTCCAAAATGGTAGCCACTATGCAGACATGGTTTCTGAGCACTTGAAATGAAGCTACTTTGGGAATGGAATTTTGATTTTATTTAACTAATTTATTTAAGTAGCTACATGTTACTACTGGCTATTGTATGGAACAGCACAGGTGTACTGCTGTGCTTCATTAAAAGGTGCCATTGATATAAAGGTTATTTTTGATTTGTATGAATGATTCAAGTTACAGAGTTATGTTATTATGTTATTTAGGCACTGGTAACAATAGGACTTTTTATTTTTTATTTTTGGTCACATTGTTTGTAGTAGCCAAAATTGGAAATTACCCAATTGTCCATCAACAAGAGAACAGCAGAACAAATTATGGAACATCTATATTTACACACAGTTATTAAAAATAAGTTAGGAAAAAAGTAAGTTAGAGCTCTATCCATTGACCTGGAGAGATGCTTATGACATATTTCTAAGTGAGAAAAACAATCTGTAGAATAATATCCATGTGAAAATATTGCTACATAATTTAAAATTCCTATGTGTATGCAAGTTTGCATAGATGAAAGCTGGAAGAGTACACATCAGGCTATGAATAGTGATTACTCATTGTGGGGGAAGGGACTTTGTGGGAAGAAATTCAAAATTTTTTAATCTTTGTATTTTTCATATGCTAAAAAAAGTATGTATTATTGAACTTTTTTTTTTTTTTTTTTTAAGAGACAAGGTCTGACTCTGTTGCCCAGGCTAGAGTGCCATGGCATCATCATAGGTCATTGCAATCTCAAACTCTTGGGCTCAAGTCATCCTCCTGCCTCAGCCTCCTGAATAGCTGGTGTGTGCCACCACGTCCAGCTAATTTTTGTATTTTTTTGTAGAGATGGGGTCTCACTATGTTGCCCATGCTGGTCTTGAACTCCTGGCCTCAAGGGATCCTCCTGCCTTGGCCTCCCAAAGTGCTGAGATTACAGGCACTCAGATTATTTAGCTTTTCTATCCTTCCACTGTACTTGTCCAGCCAACGTCTCACCCTGCAGAAAACACTTTCCATTTGTTCTCTTTCATCCTTCTCTCAGGGGACCAAGTATTCCTGAACAAAGTCATAAATAGGGCTGATTGGTTTCACTATAAATCTGTGCTTTCCAACCTTAACTGGGCTCCTTGTTTCTGATGGGAATTCTTTTGGTGCTTTCTAACCAACTGTCTTTTGTACCCCATCTTTCATGCCCCGCTTACCTGAAAAGCTTTTCACTTATTTTTTTTTTTTTTTTTGAGACAGAGTCTCACTCTGTTGCCTGGGCTACAGTGCCGTGGTGTCAGCCTAGCTCACAGCAACATCAAACTCCTGGGCTCAAGCAATCCTTCTGCCTCAGCCTCGCGAGTAGCTGGGACTACAGGCATGTGCCACCATGCCTGGCTAATTTTTTCTATATATTTTAGTTGGACAATTAATTTCTTTCTATTTTTTTAGTAGAGATGGGGTCTTGCTCTTGCTCAGGCCGATTTGGATCTCCTGACCTTGAGTGATCTGCCGCCTTGGCCTCCCAGAGTGCCAGGATTACAGGCATGAGCCACCACGCCCTCTTTTCATTCTTAGGTCCCAAGCCTCAACCCATCACTGTCGCTCTTTATGCAGATAACCTTGCCTTCTCTTTTGCCAGAATGGAGATTATTCAATATGAGTTAATATTTTTAGCTTTTCAACTTCTACACTTCTCTGAGCCATTACTCATTTATTCCTTTGTCTCACGGCAGAGCAAGATGCAAGGTCAACTTTTCCACTTTTGTCTTTGATCTCATGCTCCCCCCGCCCCCCCGCCTTTTTTAAAATTTTCCCAACTGTCTCCTTTTTGGTTGCAAGTCCCATCTTTTCCCTGAGCCCATACAATGACCCTATTTCACTTATTTGATGACACATATTTCTTTCATTATTCTGATCTCTAAAATAAGAATGCATTTTATAATTGGTGGTGTCTTTAATTATTGGTGTTTCTTATCCCTCATTGGCATATAAAATACGGTGTGTCTTACAATCAAGGCCTTCTCAGATTTGATGGAATATGGTAGTTGCTAAAACCTACAGGTTCTTTATAAGCAACAGCTCCATGGCCAGTACACTCATTGTGACAACATTTCATTTAAGTGACTGCAAAGCCCGTGACTGATACTCTACTCCCTCCAATACCTGATTAATATTCCTAAAACAGATCTCTAGTCAATATCCTGTTGAAAATTTTTCAAAGTTTTATTACAGAAGTGTTCTGAGTCCTCCCCCAACTACCTTTGCATATTTATCTGCTGCTACTCCCATATATGCATGCTTGTGTCTAGGAAAATGGAATAACCCTGTAAACTCCTTTCATCTCTGTCTTTTTCCCGCCAGGACATCTGCTTTTTGCCTGCCCCCAATGCAAACCTTGCCTATCTTTCAGGGTATAGCTCAAATATCACCTCTTGGCCAATCTAAGGTATTTTTTCACCCTATGAATCCCACAGCATTTTGTCTGTTCCTCTGTTACATCTCTTTCATCTCATATTAGAGTTACCATCTCCCTCCTCGTATGATGAAAACCATTTGATGCCAGGGTGCAAGTCTGACTCATGCTCACATGCACACCATACTGATGACAGTGATGGACAAAGTCACCACCAACCAGAGTGGGGCCTCTCAAAGAAATGGATACCACGGTAAATATGCTGACATCAGGGGTACAGAGATACTGCAAAACAGGTCTTGAAGGATACATACTAAAGTGTTAGAAATGATTATCTCTGATGAGCAAGAATGGTGGGGGTAGGGTGGGGAAATAGGGAAATATTGGCAACAATTAAGAGTGATTTTCACATTCTGCTTTATGTACTTCTCTGCTAAACTTCTGAAATGAACATATGATATTTTTATGTTTCTTTTTAATAAAAGAACTTTTAGGAAACATTAAAATAATTAAGAACTTGTTTAATGACTAATACAATTCTACTTATGTTTGGAAAGTGTATTTGGACCTAGAAAACATTAGGATGTGATTGCTGTTTAGTGACTAACACAATATAGCCATACTATCTTTGGAAGCTAAATTAGAATGTGCAATTATTCATGGTATATATGATTCTTTGTACTTAGTTAAAAAGTTTTAAAATTAATTTTTAATTTGTATTTTTAGGAACTATTTAAATAAAGATCAGGGTAAAAAATCTAACTTTTGCCAAATTAAAGGCTCAAGAAAAGAAGAATCATTCATTATAGTTTTAATCTCTAAGTCTAGCAACTAATTAATCCTTTCCTTTCTATTAAATACTTATTATTTTTATAATTCAGAAATGTAGGCCTATTGAAAATATTAATTTTCATTGAAATGTGCTACTATAACTAGAGGTGTGGACTAAGGACCGTGAGCACCACTTTCTTCTTTTTCTATTTCTATAATGTTTCCATGTTTAAAAATTATTAAATTAAGTTTAATATGTAACAAAGTTTTCATTGCAAAGCTCTGAAAACATTTTTGCGAGGACAGATACACAATACTGATATAAGTGGAAGAGTTTTTAGGAAAGATAAAGGTAGGCTGAGAAATAAAACAGTCAACTATTATGTATCATTACACGACTATGAATAAGGTACTGTACTTGAGGAGTACACTTAAGTTCAAAATATGGCCCTGATCTTAAGTGCCTATGGTTTAGTTGAAGAGGAAGGTATAACAAATGCAGAGTCAAAACAACAAACAGCACACAATTATGACAAGCCAGAAAGCATCAGGCTGCTAATTAAGTATATAAACAGTATGTTAAGTAAATTCAGAATACCGAGATATCTGTAAGGACTGGGCTGACCTGGGAAAGCTCACTGAATTGGACAGGCATCTGAGGGATGCAGAGGCTCTGGGTATTGGAGAGGAAAGGGCAACGTTAACAGTAAAGACAAAAATACAAAGGCATAAAACCTAAGATATACTTGGAAAATGAAAGGCAACTAGTGACATGATCTGTTCAGACTATAGGGATTGTATATAGGATCATACCCTGGTTTTCCTGGGATAATGTTATTATCTTGGATTACTAACAAACCCATCTTATGCCCTCAAAATATTCCATTTTGGACAGTAAATTATATGGCCCCTCTAGGATTACACCACATCACGGACTTACCTGAATTTAATGTCAACTAAAATTATGAGTCCTTTTTCATGTGTGCTCTGTGAAAGAGGTAATTGCTCAGAAAAATGAAGCATCAAAGAAGAAAATAACTACAGCTTCTATCTAACTACTAACGAAAAGTGGTATCTAAGCCCAAGAAATCTGGTTGGCACATAACAGATGCTCAAAAAGTTATCTGTGGTCAACAAATGGTTGAATAAATCAATGCATTAGGGAATAAATGAATGAAAAAAGGAAACAAAACAGTGGTTTCAGTTAAGGCTTTTGGTGAAACCAAGAATATCTCTTTCAGGAGAAAGACAGTTGGGATCTTATCATATTGCACAATAACTAATCCGGGTACATTCAGTGAGTTGTTTTAGCTTAAGATATAGGTAAATACAGTCACATTAATATAGTGTTTATTTTTGAACTATAACAAAAATGGGCTACCAATGAAGTTGGAAAATAGGTTTAATGACTTTAATGACATAATTATTCATTTTAATTACCCAAAAATGTTAAGTTCTACTTTATAAATGGTGGCAAAGATGAACCAAAATGCAGTCACCAGGAGATACAGGTATTTTACATAAAGTACTGTAAAAGGAACTATATTTGTTGTATGAATACAGTACTATGGCAGCAGAGAGGAAAAGGTATTTGTGCAGGGTCCTGAAGCAAGACCAAGGGTTTTGGGCATAGAGGGGGGTGGGTTCA